ATGCATATATACTATGTGCTGTAATGCTATAGGACACTGAAAGTGCACGCCCTGGTGCTGCATTACGAGTCTCCGAGCTTCCACAGCTGGTTTACATCATTAACACTAACATGGGGGATCTGGCTGGAAGTAGGGGGGGGGTCATTGTTAATTTATTACATGCTACTGGGTCCTCAAAGTGCACTCACTGGTGCAGCAAAGAGTCTGAGAGCTTCCACAGCCCAGAGAACTTTTCACCTGTGCACCAATCCCTCACAGCTAACCAGCAAGTGGAATTAATGAAACAGCGCTGTAACAGGATACAGTTTCTAACACTGAGCTGAGGTTTGTCTGTGTGGGAAGAAATCACTGACCTTTCATCAGTCACAGCGTTTTTTAGCATTGATGAGGCCACAGAAGAGCCTCAAACTACTGTTGCCATTTTGCTTTCATACAAATAAAATTGAATTGAACAGTGTGGAAGGAGGAACTCTTACATTAGAGTTTGGCACATCAAGCCTCTAATATCCTGTAACATGGATTTCATTCTGTAACTGTCTTGTCCCAAAAAGCCGCCGGGCAAAATACAGAAAAGCAAACCCGCAGAGATGAAATATTAATGCAAGCATACTGCTACTTAAGTAATGCAGGGGAAAGGACGGAGAAAGCATGGCTATAGATTTATCGTGCACCGAGAAGCTGCTCTATCCTCCTCCTGTCTCCACATCAGCTTTTGCTTGCGGAGCCTTCTTAAACATCACACGAGGGTAGATGCCTCCAGTCTGGCCACAGCATTTACTATCAAAGACAGAGCATTAGTTAGAGCATATTGGATGAGCATGTCATTAAATACAGCTGTTACAGTCAGATAGATACCTCCAAAGTCTATATTTGTAGCACAGGAAGCACACGAGGCCGGACAGGACAATGAAAGCTACTACAATGACACCGATCTGGGAAGGAGGCACTCCTGAAAAGACAAACAGCCAACAACATCTAACATCATCTCAAAGGTCAAGTAGTTTGTTCAAAGGTAAAAAACAGGCATTTTCTCAGAGCTTAATACCAGTCTTGAGAAATCTGCATGCAGTTGCACTACAGTCATAGTAACGCCACAAATAAATGCTGTAATTTATCTGTGAAGTCATAAATAAACAGAGTGGGTTTAGCACTAGTTTATCAAAGTTTGATCTCCTCACTAACTGGTGCTGAAGATCAGTTCTCTGCTAACATGAGCCACAGCGAGGCACCTGAGGCCTGAGCACGCTACCTGTGTATCAAATGCCTACCTGTGTCATCAATCAGAGCTTGTGGAGGGCAGACGGCTGTAAAACAACATCAGAAAATCACATTAGACTTATAAATGAACACAGAAACTCTAACACGGGCTGAACAAATAAAGACAAAAATTTTATTTAATTAAATTTAGCACGGTGATACTCACGGGTGCAGCTGGCTGTGTAATCATATGCTCTTTGCTATGAAGAACAAAGACACAGTGATTGTGATTAAAGGTTGTTTAAACTTAAAGACGTCCACTCGCTTTCTTTCTGAGCTCCACAGACAACCATGACCTGGATGACTGAGAACCCACACAGACATTTTCACAGTATATTCATCTCATCATTTCCAGATTAAACCCCTCCTATGAACACACTGTTCACCCCACAATGCTTAACATAACTCAGAAAATCTCCTCCCTCACATGTTTGCATTTTTAAACGTGTTTTTTTATGACTTAATTAGTTCATAACAAGGTATTTTTTAAAGAGTCATACCTTTATCACGCAAGTGGCTGTGAAGCTAACGTTGCCGATGCATTTGGAGGTGATTAGTGTGCCAAAGCTGCTGCTCATCACGGGCTGCAGGAACAGGCCCCCGTGGTGTGCGATCACAAAATCCTAAAGTCATCGAATTTAAATAAATAATTAAGAAAACAATTCAACCACATTATATTAAAACAAGCCAGACTATCACACTGTAAGTCAGTCATAATAGATCCGAATGCCTTCTCACTGCACACATGTTGATATGTCATAGCTGCTTATGTTGGACAGATCAAACTGCTCTGGTTTAATCACACTTACAGTTGCATTGGACCACGTAAACATGCAGCGGGAAGCCTCGTTTCGTATATCAGGGGACAGGTCTGAGATGTTGTATGTAGTCTTTTTGCCAGCGTGAGTGACGGTGCACATCATGTCACGCGCACTGCAAAGCTGAACAAACACCCCTGGGAACAAAATGCAGTTTGAAGTTAAGTCATGTTACAGTTATGCACATGAATATTTTATCAGCACTTAGTGCACGAGACAATAAAGGTAAAGCTCATGCTGAGAGGTCAAGGACTACGTAGGTCAAAGTAGGTCACGGTTTCATTTTCTGTGTCAGATGTTAAAGTTGAGTTTAACAGTCATGTTTTGGTTCAGTAGGAAGAGATGAATAGATCAGGATGTGTGAGCTTACTACAAGCTGCCCGTTAGAAACTCAAACTACTTTCAGTATGCTGTGTCGTCCCATAAATACTGGGTCACGTGGTTAGTGGCACTACTCACACACATACACAAACAGCACCGACTCGAGTGACAGCGAGGAAACCTACTCCACACCCCCTGGCCCGCCCCGTCCCGCCTCCCGGGAATTCCCTCAGTAATGCTGAAATTTTAATACTCATGATTGACTGGTGACGCCATGTGTGAGTGATATGTGAGTTACGCCGCAGATGTAAACCGTGTTTACACGCAAAACAAAATCGATGAAACCAAACCATCTGTGGCGAACACAGAACTATTAATTCTGCAATAAATACAGAATACATGCAGAATACTACAGAAATTACTACGAATACTAGTAACCGCATAAATAACAAAATCTAATAGTGTAGGAGTACAAATACTACCGGTGCAGCAGCTTTAATATAAAGCGGTAAAAATCACAGCGAAGAATAATTATATTAATACATATTCAAATGTCCTTAAAGAAAGCCGATAGTGCTACTTCACAGAGTGACGCAACAGTCAGAACATGTATTCGCTCCAAATCTTTGCCTCTCTGTCATGCAGCTTTCACGCTTTGTTTCCAAGCAACTAAATAATAATAGTAATGATATTAATTATCGTTATTAATTAACAGGTCACTCACATAAGAGCGCGACAGCAGGAAACATCTTTCCTCGCGCGTGATCTCCACTTCTTTCATGAGCCGGCAGCCAGCTCCTGGAGACTTCTGTCTTGTGCTCGCCTTTTTTCACATCGCTGCAGGAAGTGAGGCTTTCAAAATAAAGTTAGAAAGAAGAAGCTTAGATTTGCGCGCGCGCGC